CAGGCAGCCTTCCTTCCCTTCCAGGCAGCCTTCCTTCCCTTCCAGGCAGCCTTTCCCCTTCCAGGCAGCCTTTCCTATGGGTTCTGCGGGGTCAGGACATCTGCAGCTCCAGCAATGGGCACAAGTATTTGCTGCACAGTGCTGATAATTTTCTTCACTGACCTTTCAAAGGCGGTTTGAAAGTCATTGAGTGGTGGTTGAGCAGGTGTGACAGCCGCATGCAGGTGGTGGTGGTGTTGCACTTCACTGTACCCTGAGCACTTAATTAATATGCAGTGCTTGATATTCTGGAGGTGCATTTCGGAAAGGGATGAGGTTCTGTCTGTAAGGAACATCCTTCCTGGTGTGCCCCAGTCACTGGTGGAGGTGAGTGGAAATCCCCAGCCGTCTGTAGGGCTTGGTTTGTTTCTCCCCGTGGTGATTAGGGATTCCTTAGCTTCAGAGGCATTGCGATAGCAACCGAAAGAAGCTGGAATGAAAGGCATGAGGGCGTGGGATGTGTGTGAACGAGCTGTCTGGTTCCAGTTTCTGCTCTCTGTGGCTGCTGCTTTCGCACCCACTTCAAAGTCCCAGCCTCTGTGAATTTCTTTCAGGAAGCCAGATGAAAGCACAGAAGAGAGTGGCTGAGCTGAAATACAGGAGTTCTGTGTTGTGTTTCTTTTTTCTTCTTCTTTTTTGATGCTTCCTGGCCTGGGTTTTAAAACAAATTTTACTAATAACTTTCTATTTATGATGAGAAATGTGTTCCTTGGCACCTGGGGCCTTATGATTATGATGTAGTTGTAGATTAAAGGCTTTTTCTTTTTTTTTTCTTCTCCACTACACAGTAGGCCTATTTGTTTTTTAAAACATAAACACCCTCTGTTGTTCTAAATTACCCATGCCTCTCAAAAAATATTTTATAAAAGAAATCTCCTTGTTTTTGCAGGTGGTACAAACTTCGCTCCAAACCAGGGAAAAAAGAAAAGGAGAGAGGGGAGATTGAAGTGGATATCCAATTTATGAGGAGCAACATGACAGCCAGCATGTTTGATCTGTCCATGAAGGAGAAGTCCCGCTCTCCCTTTGGCAAGCTCAAAGACAAGCTCAAGGGGAAGAGGAGCAGTGGCCTTTCCGACACGGCGTCGGCGATCATCCCCAGCACGACCCACTCCCCTGCTGACAGCGAAGATGAATCAGTCGAGAAGGAGAAGAAGATATCAAAGTTCAAAACCCTGTTTTCCAAACCTGGCTTGCAGAAGACTTCCCTCTCCCAGTCCATGTCAGTCCTACCCACGCAGCAGCCCGTCACCGGGAGGGTTCGGCTTCGTCCCAGTGACTCCCTGTCACAGTGGGACGACGAGGAGTCCGAGGTCTCTCCAACCTCAGAAAGTGAGTGTTGGCCCTCGCTGCACTGATGAAGCAAAAAGCCTTTCTCCAAAGGCGTGTGCTTGCACTTCTCACACTCCTTAGAATACTGGTTAAATTCTGAACCAATCCATAGAAGGTCACCTCTGTGGTGGGTACACACGTAGGACATCAGATGCTCATGGCTAAGCTTACCTTGGGATAGCAGAGAAACTGGGGGGGCTACACGAGTGGTGCAGCTTCACAGTGAGTGATCTGTGGTGGTTTTAGGTCGTTGAATGGTGCATGTGATCTGGTCTCCTGAGGGCTGACAGTGGTAGGGGACCCAGAAGGTTTGGAAGTGGCTGGTATAGTCACACTTGCGATGTTCCTGTTGCTGTGATCCATTAATGACTGTGAAGTACTGAGGCTGTCAGTAGTGAGTGTCAGAGGAAAGGATGTTCTTGCATTTTTAATTTCTCCCCATTTATTTTTTACAGAAGCCTTTGGAAATGCCTTGGAAGAGAAGTCATCATCTTCTCCTGTATTTAAATCTCGTAAAACAGCAACTTTGGACAGCAGGCAACTAAACCAAGTGACCACTGGCCACACCAAGAAAGAAGGGCTCTCTTTATTCAGTGGCCTTAAATCCAAAACTGATCCTGTTTCCAAATCCAGTCTGTGCATCAATGGCAGTCACGTTTATATGGAAGAGAGCACAACGAAGGACAACACTCCAGCCTCTTCCCCCTCTCCTCACAACTTCAGGAGGAAGCAGCTCTTTGCTTCAGAAGAGAACCTGTCTTCCAGATCTACTAAAGGACCTGAAGAGACAGGAAGAACATCTCCTAGTCCTGCTTTCTCTGGGTCTGCATCCTTGGAGACCTTTAAAGCTATGAGTTTGCCATCATACAGATTGCTTAGTGGTGAAGAATACCTGGAAACCAGCATTCCTCCCAGTGTCGAGGTTATTAAAGAGACCAAAAAACCAGACCACAAAAAGTCTACCTTGCTCTCTCTGGTCACAGGGAAGAAGGAAGCAGTGAAGACCAGTGATGCTGAGAATATTCCTGACAGGACCCAGCAGGATGAGGAAAACAAAGTTCCAGAAGAGAAGAGTGAACAAGAGGCCAAACGTCTTGAACTTCCAGCAGATTTCAGCAGAGGGAATCCTCCAGAAGACAGTCACCGCGCAGAGGATGTCTTGGCAAATAAGCAGCCACTCAACCCTTTTGAGGAAGAATGGAAACCTGAAAAAGCTGCTGCTCCAGCAAAGACCAAAGCTATCAAGCCCAGGTGAGTCGTGTTGGCTTTAGAGGTTGATATAAATAGCGGCGTGTGGCCGTGCTGGCAGGTTCTCACCAGGCAGCTTCCTGCCGCAGAGCAGCGCTCCTCAGCTTGGCATCCTGCCTGCGGCAGAAGCGTGTTGCTCTGCAGGGCACCTGGTGGTTTTAAACCAGCCATTGGGCACTTTGCTAACAAATAATAACTCTGAGTTCTTTCTCAGTATGAGAAAAGAGATTGATCTAGGAGTGTTCCTTGTAAGTGATGCTGAAATAGTGGTTCTGTCAGCGTGAGCATCTTTGCCGGTGCTGTAGGGGCGATTTTTCTTGATGGATTTCCTGCACAAACTAACTTCTGTCTGAGCTGTGCGACTTGAATGCACCCAGGGGCTGAAATACCAGTTCTAACATCTCTACTTTTCTCTTCTGCATTTGGCTGCAGTCTTCAGAAGCGTTAATCTCGGAGCCCTTCTGCTTTTGGCTTTGTTCACAGCAACGTGAAGGATGTTGATGTGAATTTGTACACAAGGCTTTTTCGGAAATTCTGCTCCTTTCTCCTTCATATATATATATATATATGTGTGTGTGTGTGTGTATATTTATATGTGTAAACTGTGTGTGTGTTTTTATATAGACATGGGTGTATCCTGCTAACAAGGCTGTGTTTTGTGTCTGGCTCTAACTCCTTAGTTTCAATGGTTCTCATGTTTAGAAGTCTTGCATGTGAGGTGTCTTACATACTAATAAAAGTGCTTGGGATGCAAGAGATGAGATAGTGCTTAAAAGCAGCCACCCCAGTAACCTGTGCAAACCCTGCAGCAGAAGCGTTCTGACAGAGATTCAGTGCTTTGTAAAGACACAGTTAAGTATATAAAGTCTATCAGATAGGCCCTGAGGTCTCTTGCAAGTATAATTCATCTCCTGTGTTAGAAGGTGATGGAGTCTGGTGCTAAAGCTTGTCTGTTCCTGTTGCATCTGCAAGTGACATGCGAGTTTTTTGTCCCTTTTTGCAGACTGGGCGTGTCTTCAGAGGAGGAAACCAAAGCCACGCTTCCTACTCTTGCACCTGATTCCCTTCCTGCTTTTCTGTCTGTACACTGTACCAGTAGTGACAATAATCCTTTTGTTTCCAAAATGGGACAAAAAGTCAAAGTGCCAGACTCTGAAAACATTACTAGTTCTCCTGCATCTGTTACTTCTCCTCCTCCTTTTGCTGCAGAGCTTTTGAGTGGCAAGAACCCCTTTACTTCTGAGTGGGGCAAAGCATCTGCAGCCCTGGATCCTGAAGGCACTGCCCATTTCCCTCCATCCCATCATCTTGCAGCCTCTGTTCCTAAAGTGCCTCTTCCTGGGCAGGTCTCTGGTAGTGGTAATAATCCTTTTGCTTCTGAATGGGGGCAGAGCTCACGGGGCTGTGGTCCTGAAAGCTCTGACACACGGGCTTCCCGGGGTCTCTTTCACCCACCTGCACCTTCTGTCCCCTCTGACTGTCATTTTAATGACAATAATCCCTTTGTATCCAAGCTTGGCTGGGAACCAGATGCACCAGGTTTCAAAGCTGTTGCTAGTTCTTCCCCTTTTTGCCTTCCTTGTGATGAAGATTGCTCCTCAGCAGAACACCCTGCTGAGCTAAAACGCTCTGGTTCCAGTGCTTCAGGGAGCTCTTCAAATGTGGCTTTAACTAGTAATGTACCCAACCCTCTCAGCACCCTTTCTGACAACCCTGGTCTGGCTCCAAAGAAGCAGTGCAGTTCTGCTCAGCTTCAGGTTGAGAGTTTGTTGAAAAGAAATAAGGAAGGTGATGGGAAGTCTCTGTCCTTTCTCACTGATGGATCAGGGGGTGTTAAATCAGTCACTGAGGATTTGGGTGAGCAGGAAAGTGAAAAGCAGTGCTCTGATTTCAGTGAAATGTTACTTACGGGTTCAGATGCAACAGGAGAGCGAGCAGGGTTTGCTTGCAAACTAGAAGCAGGATCAAAACTCTCCAGGGACAGCATAGGTCCCATCCGAAACGGCGAGACCGCTGTTCAGGGTGGTGTGGAAGCAGGTGGTGCAAATACTGAACCCTGCACAAAGGGCAGCAAACACTTTGCACCTCTCTCAAAGCGTAGAAATAACCTCTTGCCAGAGAGCAGTGCTGAACAGCCACCTTCTCCTGAGAGTGAGGTGAGTGAGGAGCAGGAGATCTTTGGTGAAGAGAGACAAGAAGAATGTGCAGCCACAGGAGAGCCCCGAGAAACTCTGCTTGATAAAAATGACTCGTTTTCTCAAGTAGGATCTGCCAAACCAACCTTGGGCACTTGCTCCCTGTCCCCTCAGGAAGCTGCTGCGGGGAGGGCTGGCAGTGAGGTGTCAGTCACTCCAGAGCCAGCACCACGGCTGTCTTTAACGCTGCAGAAGTGCCCGCTGGTTTCTCATGCTGATGAGTTAAGTGGTGATGTGCCTTCTTCAGGAAATAGTGTAAAATCTCTGTCTGGGCTCCCATTACCTGATGATAAAACCTCAGATGCTCTTGTGTGCGTCCCCCAAAGTGGCTCATTAGAGACTATCACTCCACCAGGGATGTTGAGAGATGACAGCAGTAACAGGCATTTAAAAAATGAAGGCAATGATGATTTATTTGACTGCCTTACAGATCTAAAATCTGCCATTCCCGTTACCAGTGACCGTGGTTTGAAACTGGCCAGTCTTCCAGTTATTCTGGAGGGAGGCTCAGATGATGAGCAGCTGGATGACTGTCAGGAGAACTCTGGTGTCACTGGAGGTGATAAAAACGTATCAGAGACTGGAAAGCAGTTCTTAGATTTCATGCCTTTGCATGAAGACCTGGAAGAGCACTCTGACAGCTCTGCTGCACTCCAGGTAGCACTGGCTGCTCTGGGAGGAGGAGGTGTTCCTGATGCCTGTGAGCCAAGCAAGCCACCCGTGCTGCCTGCCAGAGTAGATGTTCACAGTGTCAATAACCAGGTAGCTGACTCAGCCTTAGGTATGATCTCTCATTCCAGGGAGGATAAGAGTCATTTTGAGAAACAAGAACTGAAAATAAGTGCAGGTGTTGAGGAGCGTGCTGAGTGTGACTTCTTTGAGCCTTCTGTTTCCTCTTCCTCCCTGTCCAGTCCTTCCCAGCCCTACTCTACCTCTCATTCTCTCCCCTCTGACACCCCAAGTCGTAGAGCAGACTCTCCGAAAAAGCCAACAGCCGAGGGCTTCGCAGATAAAGCAGGAAATTCTGGCAAGAAGAAGCTTCTTCAGGCATGGGTTTCACCCTCTGAAACATACCCTAACCAAACTCAGCAGAGTGGTGAAACTGTGTCTCCTAAGCACAGGTGAGAGAACGTGGGAAACACACAGAAAGTATCTCAGTGCTGATGTGAGCTTTGCTTTTTCTTCCTGTGAGCACAGATCTGTCTCTCCAGCTGCAGGAATTTACTGTGCTTTGCAGTGAGGTGGCATCGTACAGCCTCTGGCTCGTGGATTTATTGGGGTCTGGGTCCTGTCATGCCAGCGTAGGATCGTTGCTGGCCCCAGATAAATCTGTACAGCTATTGAGGATGCCCAGAGCACTCAAGGAGACTGGTCATTCACCACAGTGCTACCTCTTAGGAAAAATGTTAGGGAAACTTGGTCACAGTTTAAAAAATAGGGTAATTTCATCAAACTGGGGAGATGGATTTTTCAGAAATGGGAGAATGGTCGGAGGAAGCCTGATAAACTGGGCTGCTTCCTTTCCTGGTGGAACTGGGCTCCTGAGCCTTGAGGTGAATCGCAGCAAGTGATGCAGCTGAAGCCCCACTCTCCCAAGAACGTGTGGCTGCTCTCTGGAGCTGTCTGCAGCTCCTCCTGCCTGCTGGGGTACTGCTGTCCGAGGAGCAGTGCTGCTGACCTGTCAGTCCTCAGGACTTTATCTGCAGAACTTTGTCCAGCTGGCATTTACTGAGATACAAGTAACATTTTCTCGCTGTATTAAAACTGTCAGTATAAATCCTGCTCAAGCAAATGAAGATAGCACTTCTTGGCAGCTTGTGGTGTAAGTTTGGATTGAAAAAGGTGTAATACACGCTTGTCCCAAGACAGTAGAAGTATTTGTTATGTTGCAAGAACCACAAATATGTTCTTGTTAGGAAAGTCAGGCTTGAATACTAGTGCGTGAAAGATCAGAGTAACTGTGACTGTGTACTGCCTGCTCATGTAGACCTGGCTTTTTTTTTGTGACATACCATTCAGGATGTATTTCTCTTGTTACTGCTCCTTTATCTCCAATGCCTTAAGTCAAAAGAGATAGTAGAGAACTGCAGTATGCTCATAGAAGCCTATAGCTTAGACAGAAATGCCTTGTCTTGCCAAAGCTGAATCTCTTATCTCTCTGGAGATAGAGAATGGTAAGAATTTTTCTCAGTTTCTTGCTATGTTTGTTTTTAGTCTGAAGATGTGTGTAGTGCTGGTGTTACATGTACTGCCTAAGTCACATAAACCTTTTTTAATGTTGCAGACTCCATCCCGTGAAGCCGATGAATGCCACAGCAAACAAGTCTCAAAGTAAAAACCTGAATGTCATCAGCACCATGAGTGAAAAACTGCTCGAGATGAACACGAAGGTATGGAGGAAAGTGGCACTTTAAACCAAAACTGAAGCAGTAAATTGAACAGAATTTGTGTATTTGGAATAGTTTGCCTGTGCTCATATCTCAGATCCTGAGCAGGAAAAGAACAGTGGTTGTTAGACTGTGGAGGGGAATTAACTTGATTTTTTTCAGTGCTCAAAGGTGGGGACAGTCTTTATTTTTATTTATATATTGCTTTTCTTACAACCTGATCTCTAACAGAATTGGTGCCTCTTGTTTGTGGGGGGGGGGATTCTGAGTGGAGAGGAGTGTGGGGTGCTGTCTGACTCCCCAGAGGTGAGCAGGGTGTGTGAGCTCTGAGGTGGCTGTGACAGGAGTGACGGGTGAGTCACGAGCAGTGCTACCCCTGGAAGTCAATCCCATTGGTGACGTGGATCCACCTAACTTGGATCTGCACAGGAGATTGGACCAGTTAGTCACTGTTTATTTTCAGACATAATTAGTCCCCAAAGCTCCTTTTCACCCTGAAATAAATAAGTGGCTCGTAAAGCCGAGAAGGTGGGAAAATGTAACCTCAGGGTGGCTGTTGCCTCGTAATGTGCTGCATTAATATCCTGTGCAGATGGGGAGGCCAGGGCCTGCCAGGAAAGCACGGCTGCTTCCTAAGAGCCTGGCTGTGCAGCCTGCATAATCACCCCAATTTAAAGGAGCTTTCTGCATCATCTTGGCCTCAAAACAGACCTGCAGGCAGAGACTGAAAGTCACGTCCATCAGAATGGCTAGAAGGGTCTCGGGCTCAGCAGGGAAAAATCCTGGGTACTGTTATTGTCTCCAAGGGTTTTTTGGGGAAAATGAGAAGTTTAAACCGAAATAACTGTGGTGCCTCCTTCTGGTGTAAGTGGAAAAGAAGAAAAAAATGTGATTTCAATGATTTAAACTGACTTGTTGCTGTTGTGAATTAGTTGAAAACTTGTAATTAGTATTCTGGTGAGGCACTGGGGTTCCATATAAGAGACTACACTTGGTGTAGCTGTGTGAGCCTGTTGTGTGTGTGCTCTTGGTGTAGCTGTGTGAGCCTGTTGTGTGTGTGCTCTTGATGTAGCTGTGTGTGTGTGCTCTTGGTGTAGCTGTGTGTGTGTGCTCTTGGTGTAGTTGTGTGAGCCTGTTGTGTATGTGCTCCTGGTGTAGTTGTGTGAGTGCTCTTGGTGTAGTTGTGTGAGCCTGTTATGTGTGTGCTCCCTGTGAAAGAAAAGCCTGGGCTGGCACTCTGGTTCAGCTGAAGGAATTGGCAGAAGTTCCTGGTCAGTACCTGTCCAGCTTGCTTAAGGGTTAAAAGCAAACTTTTTGGAGAAGCTGTGATGTGTTTTCACAGTGATAACTACAATAAGAGGGAAATGCCAAAGGTCTGGCTGGGTATTTCTGGCTGTTTAACCTGAATTTGCCTTTCCTGGTCTTTGTTATGTTTTAAACAATGGCTGTCCCAGTGCTGCTCCACAAGTGATGGTAGCTGATGGTGCATGGCTGTAACTTCCAGCGAGCTTTGCTAAGCTGGATGAGCTGCTGCCTGGAGTCAGCACAACATTCTTTTAGTGTAAATTGCAGCAGAATTGAATTACAGAACTGACATTTTGCAAATATTTTTTGTTAAAACCGATGGCCTGGTTACTGTCCACAACAGCTCTGTCACTCTGAGCCTTCTGCTCTGGAGAAGACTGTCCAAGCTCTTATTGTGTCTGTGCTGTAAGTACCATGCACTTACTCTGAGGCAGTTGCTGGTTTTTTTCCTCCAAATACTTTCAAAAAGCTATTCTGTGTTCTGGAAGTGCCTGAGTGGATAGTGTTTAGTGTGAATTTTTCCAGGCTAGGTTTGCTAATGGCCCCAAAGGTGCTTCGTAGCCTGGCCTGCTGGCCTCACCCTGTCGATGTCAGTGCCTTGGCTGTTTGCAGCCTGGCCCTGTGCAGCCTGCTCTTCTTGATCCTAAAGTGCTAATTGCTGGTGTTCCAAACGTCACTTGGATGGAACTTATTTTTATAATAAGATAGGAAGGACAGTAATACTTTTGAAGAGCAGCTGTGGTTCTGCAAATGCTGTGTGTGAAGTTGTTCATTGATGCTTTAAATCTGACAAGCCAGCTACCAGATACCATGCTGTTGCTCTTTTGAAATGCCTGTATGTCTGTAATGACCCTGCCTTTCTTCTTTCTCAAAGAAATATGATCCTTCAGATCCTGCCTATGCTTATGCTCAGCTGACACACGATGAGCTGATCCAGCTGGTCTTGAAGCAGAAGGATACAATTACCAAGAAAGATCTCCAGGTTCGTGAGCTTGAAGACTACATCGATAACTTGCTTGTCAGAGTCATGGAAGAAACCCCAAACATTCTTCGTGTTTCAACGACTGGAAACAAAAAAGCTGGGAAGATGTAAAAGCTCTTGGGAAGTTGGTTGGACAAAGGACTGAGTTTCCACCAGTGGAGTTTGATGAATAAGGAGACGATGAGAAGTCGGTGGTACCGGTTGTGCTGCCCACAGAAAATGACCTCTTTCCTGTTTCTGCCTTGAGCAACTCTCAGTTTGATTAGTAGTTACATCAGGTCTGGTATATGGAATCCAGAAGTGGAGTCATATTTATTTCTTGGGTTCTTTCCATTGTTTGGGAAGATTTGTTCAGGTTTCTAATCCAAAGGCTGATTGCGATAGGAAGGCTGAAGGGTTTTTGATGTGTTCCGCTTGCCAGCGAGGCACTGATGATCCTTGGTGAAGAAGTTTTCTATGGTTTTGTTTCGTAGCAGCTTTGATAGAGCAAAGTTACTCTTCTTTCCATATCTTAAGTTGTAGTGCAATATAAAAATCTTGTACAGTAGAGCTTGAGGATTTGATTGGTTTTTTTTAAATATATATATATTTGGAGAAGTCCAAAGATGTGTGCTTCAGACCAGGGCTGCGTGGGCTGTATTTTAACAATAATTAATGCCCTAAAAGGTGAATGCAAGTTAAACCTTAGATTGGAAAAGAAGAAGCAAAGCTTGGTTAATCTCATAAAGTACATATTGTTTTAAAACAGTTCTCTGAGGGGAAGGTTTACAGGATTTTTTTGGCAGAGGAAACATTGCAATGTTATGGTACGCTTGTCTACCATAGGAATGGTAGGAATGAATTTGGGCCAAAGGTGCATTTTAAATCAGAAGCTGTTATTTTACAGACTTCACATTCCTGATTCGAAGGTCGTTCAAGTGTGGGAGGCAAAGGTACACCTGGTTTCTGTCCTGTAGCTTAAATAGGTGTGGATTTCATGGTACACGTGTGTGGCCCGTGTCTCTTGCTATATGGGAGTTCTGTGACAATTTTGCTTTTACACCATTGCAGTTTATTAAATTTAAATAACTTTGGAGCTGGGGATACCTTGGAACGACCTTGAAAGGTGATCAGTCTTACACCTCTGATACACCACACTTACACTCTCTTTTGTGCATTCCTTATACAGCCAGGCGAGGAACTGGAGCACCCTCCCCTGGGGATGGAGCAGTCACAGGGGCAGTGCTCAGATCTGAGTTGGTTTTCTTTGTGCCTTGCTGCTCAGAACGGAATGAAGATTTTCTGTAGCTTAGGAAAAGTGCTGGTTTTGCTGGACAATCGATACCTCTCAGTCTGCTTCCTTCATGTGTGGCTGCTTTCCAGCTTGATAGAGACAGGTACGTTCCCCTCCTCGTCTCATCAGACAGCAAATGACAGCTTGGCACTGTCAAGCAGCCACTACAACAGGCTTCCTCCACTGGAAAATTAAATGTGGCTTTTTTTTTTTGCGAGCTTGCTGTCAAAGATCAAAAAAATCAGATGCCTCTTTGTAGCTCTCTGATTTATCAGGGTTGCAAGAGTCCATAAAAAGCTTAGAAGAAAGTTGAAATACCAAAAGAGTGGGTAGCAGAGGACCAAAGCAAACACTCCTACCTTTGGAAGCTGGAAGGGTCTATTGGGTCACTTCTGGCTTCACTCAATTTTTCTACAGCAAAGCACTTTATTGAGGGACTAGACCAGCTGGATCGACTATCAACCTGTTAGTAGTCTGCTTCCTTTTCTCATAAAACACTGGAAACGACTGGAGACTTCTCAAATACTGTATTTTTGTAGTGAAGAGTAGTTTAATATATTTGCCTAGAGATGTATGCATTTATTGGAAAATCAAAAAGTGCTGTTAATTACATTTTTTTTATTACTGTAAACTGACTAACTACCAAAGTCTGGAGCTTTTCTGACAGAGCTGTCCTTCACGGGAAGCTTGAGTTGAAACAAACCTTAAGCGTTAAGAGTCTTCTAAGACTTCAGGTACTATTTTTTTCCTAGTTTTATTTTTATTGGAGCAGATGTCTTCAGTGAAGGGGTGGTTTATTTTCTCTTGTACCCTCTTCTGTGAACGAAGCGTCTGTGACGCGGAAGGTCTTAGAGGCATCTTCAGCTCTTGGCTGGTGGTTTTAATTTTGAGTGGTACTGGTTGGCCCTTACTGAAAACTGCTGCTGCTTCTTGTGCCTTGAACCAGGGAGGAAAATGAAGGATTAATTTGTTTCCTCCTTGTGCCTCAGCGGATCTCTGGAAAGAAACGGTGGTTTATACCTCACTAATAGACTAGTCTTTGAGACTTTATTCCACAGCTTTCTGATGTTTGAGGTCAGAGAGTCAGAAAAACCGGTTGTGCCTTTGAACGGTGGTTTAACGGTTCAAAAATGGTTCTGTCAGTGGTTTTAACTGGAGATGTGGGAAGCAAGACTGGGCTCTTGCTTTTTGCTGGCCTCATGTTAAAGCAATATGGGTACTGCTGGGTTCTCTGGCTGGTGAAGGCACCACGGTGCCTTGTGCAATGGTTTTGGAGTGTGGATTTCATTGAGTTTGGGTCGTGTGCGTTCCTGTTGGCAGGAATGTGCATCAAACAAAGTGGTAATACCTGCTCTTAGCCATGTCCTTACAGATGAAGCCTTAAAACTTGTAATATCCTCTTCTGGCAGCCTTTTTTTGCCAGTTACAACTGTGTCCATTCAAATGGACCCCGGGTTGTGTCTGGCTGTTGCCCCTGGGGTTGTTCTCCTCACTGGTTGCAGGTGTGGAACCTCCTGCCAGAGCAGCACAGACTCTGCTTTGGGGTCACAGTCCTGCACCAGCCACACTTTGGCTTCCATGGCCATGAAAGCATCACCCAAACCCTGTACCTAATATTGGCAATACTAGTTAAAGCCTTTTTTTGGCATAAGGGGACTGTCGTTTTATCTCCAGCAAGGTGCTTCACCTTGGCTTTAAGGGCTTTAAGAATCAAATGTATTGTGTTACTCTTGAAGGATCTGAATGTATTTTCCTGGTTTATACTGTCTGCTTTTAGCCTGGGTACCTCTTTGTTTTTAAATGCCTTTTGGTTTCATGGAACACTAAAATAAAAATACCTTAAATCCAGTGTTCTGATCACTTTGTCTTCTTTTCTGAAAGAGTGGTTTCAGAAGTGCCTCATCTCTTCCTCGTGACCAGCTCTGCTGCCTGAAACTCCTCATCCTCAAGGTATTTTGGAGCTATTTCCATCCCTGCAAGCTATCTGTGCAGGAAGTTCATGGTAAACACCTCGTGGGGTGGGGAAACCTGATGGACGAGCTCACCCACATCACAAGAATTGAGAGTTTCTGTAAAGAAAAAAAAAATGTGTGAAAGGTTCTTCTTGGCCAGAAGTCACTTAAATCACCCCAATCACAGCGCTGATCGTGGACCCTAATTGTAATGGCCCTGAAATTGTGGGCAGGGAGGAAAAGAGGAAATCAGCCTCCTGCTGTCTCAGGGCCACTTATGGAGAAACCCATCGGTGCTTTAAGAGCCCTGAGTGCTGTTATCACCCTCATCCTGGGCTGGTGATGGCAGGGGGATGGGGACCCCAGCACCCCGCGGCTCTGGGAGGGACGTGACTCAGCACCAACAGCTCTAACGAGGACGGGGACAATGAGTCCAGCGAGGTGAGGGTTTTTATGATTTCACAGTTCCCTGCTGAGTGAGGGAGTGTGCTGTCCCCTCTGTCCCCTCACTCCTCCCTGACACCATTCCGAGAGCACATCCCTTTCTGCTTAAACAACGTGACCTTGAAAGATGAATGTGACATTGAGAGACAGTCACACATCTGAATAATGTGACATTGAGAGACAGTCACACATCTGAATAATGTGACATTGAGAGACAGTCACACATCTGAACAATGTGACATTGAGAGACAGTCACACATCTGAACAATGTGACATTGAGAGACAGTCACACATCTGAATAATGTGACATTGAGAGACAGTCACACATCTGAACAATGTGACATTGAGAGACAGTCACACATCTGAATAATGTGACATTAAAAGACAGTCACATCTGAATAATGTGACATTCAAAGACAGTCACACATCTCCAAGGCCCAGTCAAGTTTAAGTATATTCGTGGTGCCAGGTTCTAGCAATAGGGTAGGTGAGGTAGTGATGCCAGAATAAACTAGTTTTGTGGAGTTAGAAGTGGTGTGAACAGGCTCAGAGGTGACCTGAGTGTGTGCAAAAGGGAAGTTAAACTAAAGGACACAGGGATGGAGGTTTCCTGACCATCAGGAGACCCCTGGAGAGAATGAAAGTGGCTTTAGTACCCATGGGAAAAGGGCATTTAAATGTAGTAATGAGTGCTTGTGATGTGATTAATGTGTGAATAATTTATTGGAAAGGAAATGTGTCTGTGTTTTTTGATAGGATGAAGCTTTTGTAGAGGGATGTGTTGCTGTGCACGAGAGGTGGAGCCATCCCCCGTGCATCCCCGGTGCTCTGATAACTCCGGCTGCTTCAGGATGTTAAAGGAGCCCGTTCCCGATCCCGGTGACGTTCCCGATCCCGGTGACATCCCCTCGGCGGGTGCCCGGGGCCGCTGTGTCCGCCCGGGCGGAACTCACGGCGGGG